AAATGTTTTAAAAAAAAGATAAAAAAATTGCTTACAATTTTAATAATACAATCATTGCTTTTAAATTTACTTTTCGTTTAATTTTAGAGTATATAAAATCTACAAGAATAAAAACTCTAAAATGTTTTTAGGATGTTGGAATTATATGCGAGAAAAAAAATGGAACATAAAATCTATATAAAAATTACATTAAAATATGAGAACCATATTTAGATTTAAATAACTTCGTAATAGAACTTTTATAAGATTTTAAAGTTAAAAATTTAAGTCGGAGATTTTTTATCATCGTCGAATTTTGTCGAATTAAATCGCAATCCGGTATTATCATGTAAAGTATAAATAATCTCTAGCGCATTTATCTTTATATCTTTAAATTTTTTAAAAATAGAAATGCATCAAAATCCATAGAAAATCAAATTATAAAAATTTCTTATTATCTGTACTCTCTCTCTTTCTCTTTCATTTTCTAATAATTTTGGATGTTTGGTTTCCTAAGATAACATAAAATTTGATATTTCACTATCGATATAGTTAGGTGTTGTCTAAAACTACGAATTTCTGAAACTACCAAGTCGTTGTTGTACCGTCAAGACATCTTGGCAGAGCGATGAATCTTCGGCCAGAACTTTGTATAACTTGGATCACGTAATTATCCAGGCAGAACCGATAGACTCAGTCTCGATGACCCTCGATAACGAGACACCGACGTTCGTGGTCAGATTACTCTAACTGAATGTAATATCCGTGCCGAGTTGTATCGCGTTGGTTGCATCATTATGGAGTGTCCCAAAGTTTTCGCTTCTAATGTGGTTGCATCACAAGAGGATTTATGTAAACTGGCAAAATTTAAGTGTCAGGTCCTTAATTGTTTGAATATCTCACACATTAATTTTCTTCACGAACGTCTCTTCTTGTACGAGACAAGACATCTGATAGAATGATAAATTAATATCTATGGTTCTAGAAAAAAAAAAAAAAATCGCTTAGAGGCCTTTAATAGTTTTAGATTCGTCTGATGTTTTCGAAAGGTAATAAAAAAAGAGATTACCTACTCGTACTTGATTGGACTTACAATTAATCATTGTAACGACAGCTGTCATTTAACAATTGTAATACCTTTTTGCGTTTTCTACTTATTTCGAGGTTTTACTATATGCAGTCATAGTTGCAGCGGAGTTCATTATAAGAACTATTTGACGGTTCACTCTTCAAATATGGAAATTGGAAGAGGCTCTATCTGCTGCACACTAGGACTGGATTTCATACGGACACTACATAATATTTGAATTTTGGATATTGCTGATGATGGCTTGAATTGAGTCGAAACGTTCGAACGTTTTGTTGAATTTAAAAGAATATAAATACAATTTACTTTATTAAATTATAACACGCGAATTACTGTCCAGAATTTTTACTCTCACTTGCCTTTATTGAATATTTACTCTTCAAATTTCGAGAGTCCGATTAATCTCTATTATTTTTTGTTATAAAAAAAGATTACATATTGTATGGAAGAGAACACGTTCTTCTCTAATATTTTAGTCGTGATTTTTTATCAATTGAAAATTAATGACAGTTTGACGTTCTTTCCGCTTTTTCTGCGAATATCCGCGCGCGTAATTGACCTTTCTTCCG